TGTAAAATTCGAAGTTCGCTCATTTACTTACTCTCTAAAGTTCTGTAACTCGTAGTTCGTTCGTTTACTTACTCTCTAAAGTTTTCAGACTCGATTTTTCAAAACAACAGGCGATTGTGAACAAATACAGACTAACTTTTTCAATATTTCCTCAGAAGTTTCCAATTTCTGACTCGCTCTTTTAACTACTCTCTGAAGCTTCCATTTTTCATTTGCAAATCATTTGCAAATCTCTCAATACTCTCATTAATTAATGTAAATGAAATTTGGCGACTTATGAGAATAATTAAATGAGCGAGTCTGCTAGTGGTGGTCGTTTAACACACAAAATTAACAAGACATTAATCAAATATAATTTACGAAATACAAAGATATAATAAAATAAATAAATAATGATAACTGTATACCAAAAATAACCCTAAATTTATTAGGGTGAAACAAAAAACTTTGTCTTCGGCCTTTTCTACACATTTTAGCGAATTTTTGGTTGTTGATTTGCTGAATAGAAGAAGATAAAGAAATATTCATTTTTTTTTTCTAATAATGTATTTCATCATAATCACCAACAAATTTTTATTAAAGGAAAACAAATTTAAAAAATTGTGAATCGTAATGCAAGTGCAAAGTAGCACGCACGACTTAAGCAATTTTGATATCTGCCAAAATATTTGCAATATTCAAGAAGAAGTTCAGAGGCCCCATGAAGTGTAGATATTCTGATCAGTGTAAAAATCTAAATCGATTTAAACATGTTCGTCTGATTGTTGACCATCAAAAGTTGCGTAAAAATACCTGTAATTAATTTTTTCTATCTGCTCTAGTTTTCGAGATGCCAAGAATATATACCTATTTCTACCTTCTTCATCGTTGGGATCTCTTTTTTGTAGAATTAACACAACGGCAGAAATCAACGTAAGAAGATAATATTTGGTCCAAGTATTGTTTAATAGAGTCGAACGTTTTAAAATGGTTGCCCACATACACGCCAACGACGGATAAAAAACTCAACCATCCTAGAAAAACATCGACAGTTTTCTCATATTTGAATCCGTAACTTTGGACTTTATGAATAGTTCGTATAAAGAATCAACAGCAAGAAAAAATCTTGCCAATATTCCAAAATAGATTGTATGAGATATCTTTCCAACACATTATACTCTATTTCAGATTACGCAAGAAAGCTGAAAAGTACTTACATGGCAAAATAGAATTCGATGGCCACATGTCGGCTATTTTAGTGTTGACTCATAGCAATGGCAGTATTCTGGGCACTTCATGGCACATTGTTTTGCAAACCTTACAACAACTTGTTTGGATATTGGGCTTAAAGCCATCTACTGGCGGGAGTCTTCAAGCTTTTCCTAAACCGGCTGGAGAGGCTAACATTGGTATAAAGACCGCAAAGCAACGTAAACAAGGAGAACCGGTATATTCACATGATATAATTTATAAAATTCATTTGTTCTCGCCCTATTTTACTAGATATAAATAAATGTATATATATAAATTTGAGAAAATCAGATGTTTATTTTTTTGGTGTAGGTTGCTTGTTTTTGTTTCGGTCGATTTTGTCAAAGAGCTTGCTAAGATCGATGTATTTATCGATGTAAAGGGATATTTTTGAAGTGCGTATTTATAGGGAAGCGGGCCCAAAACGCATCCTAATGATTACATTGTATTAACAAGTTTAATCCTTACATTGGACAAAATTTTGTAGACTTTATTTTTGTGTAAAATTACTATTTTAGGACAATTTCCGTCACCATATATTAACGCTTAGACTTTTCCACTCCACAAAGAATCCATTTTCGTGAATGTTCTTATTTGGGTAAGATCCAAAAAATAGGCTGACATGGTCCAAATTTGGTACAGTTAATTTTTTTATGTTAAATTACTATTATGATGTCATTATTTTCATGAAGCATCGAAAATTATACCTTTTGTCGCATAAACTTCAGTTTTCATTATATGAGAGGAGGTACAAAAATTGACACAGCGTATACATTACTAGACAGGAAGATATTCAAGATATTTAACACTTGCAAAGATTTACCACAGCGTTTCGGAATGTATTTCGGGATGAAAGTATAGAGGGCAGGTTTTGGGTTCATCTCCAAAATAAGAAAACCATTGTTTTATATGTCGATAAATTGTACCTTTTACTACTGTGAATATGAATATAGTGAATAATGAATAATAATATAGCTTTGATCAATCCAAACAAATTTTTCTATCTTTCCTTTCAAGCACTTTCGCAGGAAAACACAAAATTAGACACATAAAGGA